ATATCTCTGTCCTTCAAGAGACCTGCACAAGACGCAAGATAGAGATACCCTCAAAGTTCTTGGGAGTACACACTGGCACCCAGCTCAGCTTGCCAATGGGTCAGGGAAGGATTCCTGGGATAAGAACACCCAGGTGGGACACGAGTGATGAACAGGAAAGGACCAGGTGGAAACAGAGCAAAAAGGGGAACAGCCAATGCATTGGCTCTGAAGTGAGAAAGAGTAAGGCAAACTTGAGTGTGACTAAAATCTGTGGTCAGGGCTGGGAGGTCCAGCTGGAAAAGCAGGTGAAAGTAGGACAATACAAGCTTTGAATGCTCCTTGGATGCTGGCCAAAGGGCCCAGACTTACACCCAAGGTCCATGATCATCTCTGCTCCTCCAGTTGCTGCTGTTCAGGTGCCCAGGGGCGAATCTTCCTCCCAAGCAGAAGTTCTGCTTTCAGAGTTCCCAGACAGACCACTGGGAGGTTCAACTCCTAGTACCAGAGTCATGGAGACAAACCCCAGGGAAAGAGCCAGACTTTCTTTCAACAGAAACTAAAAAGATGAGGAGTAGCAGGTACTAGAAACATATCTCTAGGCAACCAAGCAGCCTGGGGCCAAGCAGCCAGACCATGAGCCCAAGGTCTGACAGTGGGAGCTAATGACTCTAAGTAACATGGTTAATAAAGTAGATACTGGACATTTGAATTGTCCTACCTAGGGCTTAGAGGCTGCAGACCTCGGTACAGCCATTTGAAGCTGTCTGGGAAGACCCAAGTTGCCCCAGGCTTCTCTAAAGAAGCTGTAGGCAGTCAATCATGACTAATTTCCAGCCCAGCCCAGCAATGAGGGGCCCCAGAGGCAGCTCCGCAGCTGCACCAAAGCATTAAAAGATCAGCTGGGATCAAGCAAGTCCCTGGGGCCAAGAGGTGCGTCTGTGCAGCTACTTCCTCTGCCCTAATGGAGCAGAGGAAGTTTTCCCTGGAGGAAGTGCCCTGGAGCTCTTTGTTTGGAAACATTCTTAGATCCTCAGCTGTCTCGGGCTCTTCTCCTCTCCAGAGGCCATTCTCCAAGTACAGCCCTTGCACTTGACTTTAGTACTTTTTTTCCCCCAGGGCGGGTAGTTCCCAGGGCTTTGAACTGTGGAATGAGGAGCCTGTTACTTTCCGGAACAGTTAACCGGGGGCTCTTCTGCCCAAGTCGGTCTGGGCCCTTGGGAGGGGTCTTGCGGGCTTTCCAAGAGGCTCCGGAAAACAGATACTGCAGCCCGACCCCTAACTTCCCTTCACATGTGCCCCCGGGGCCGACAGGGGAGACTGATGAAAGATGCAGTAAGGGAGAGGACCCATCCGAGCCGAACTGGGGTGGGGACAGATCAGGGCCCTCGGGCTAGGAGTCGGCGTTCCTGGGGCCCGAGATGCGGGTAGGAGCGGGGGTCCTGGAGGGAGCGAAATGCACGGGGTGGGCGGTGGGAGCCCGACTGGGTCGCGCAGCCCCAGGGTGGGGTCGTTGGGTACGGGGTGGGGGTTGGGAGGTCGTCGGGCCGGGCCGGCGGAGGGCGTGGGTTCGAGGACGCGCCGCAGAGCAGCAGCACACAGGGG